TAATTAGTTTTTTAATTTTTTTGGTTAATCATGTTATTTCACAGAAAAGAAGATGCTAAGCTTACGCTATGGTCAAACATTACACACAACTTTTCTTCTGTCTCATTGGAAGCATTGCCCCACCCAATAGTTGCCGTTTTTACAGGCTCGAGGCTCAAGCTATTTGCAAGTATTTAGTTTAATAAAAAATTTGTTCGTTTTGTATTGGATAATTTGCTTTGATTAGCTTTAATTTGGTTTTTTTTTTCCTTGCGACACATTATTGGATAATTTTATTTGGCGTTAAATTGTTTCTCAAAATAGCTTAAAATACACTCTACCTAAATAGCTAAAAAATTTTGGTGCATAAAAAAAAAAGGAAGTTTTAACGAAAATCCCACGATACTGTTTATTTTAATGAAAAATCACATTTTTATACTAAAAAGTCAATTATGATACTATTCACTTTACACTTTATTTTGTCCTTATCATTAAAAATCAAAGTTTTCAAGCTTTTTTCATTAATTTTCTTTAAAAAAAATTCTTATGCTATGATAGTACGTTAGTGCACATTATTGTTTATGTATGATATCATCACTTTTGTTTTAACTTTGTTTTTCAAAAATCAGTCCATCTCTAACTTAGTAGTTTTTCTGGCTATTGATGTGTCTATTCTAATTAATTATGTTTGTCATGATTGTTTTTACAGCTTAATTTTAATATTTTGCTGCTGTTGAATCAATTTTTCTGCAAAAAATTGTGCTCTGTTCCAATTATAAGATGAAATCCAAATGTCCTTTTTTCTCTCAACTTTTATCCACTTTTTCTCGCAAATGTCATGATGCTTAAGAGTTTTTATCAATGGTTAAAAAATTACTTTCTAAGATATAATCTCTACCAAATAAAAAATTTCCAGGTATTGTCTAACAGTCTGTTAACAGTGCATTCTCACAATAGACATCTTGGAAAAGCTGCATTAATTTTAAAAAAATTAATTTTTGTGCTTGTCACACCCCAGACCCGGGATAGATGGAGAATTCAATCCCGAGTCCGCAACGCAAACTAAAAACTAAATAAATAAAATAAAACTGAAACGGGTTGGAAAATAAAATTCTTCTTATAACAAGAAATCGATAATTCTTTTCCAAACACATTTGATTTGAGGAAGTCAATAAAACTCAAATTTACATATGCACTAGTACTTAACATTCCTCATTTCTCTTTTCTTCAATCAAACCAACTTATTTGTTACAACCACATCACTCCCTTTTAAAAGGACAAAACTAAAAGAGTGATTAAGTAATACCTTTGTCTCTTATTTTGCTCTTTCACCACCATATCACAACTTTAGAACCTACTTCACTTGAAAAAGTGAAATAGATATGCATTTATGACATAACTTTTTATCCTTTTTCTTAGACCACATCAACTTAACTTTTTTTTTTTTTCTCAAAGTATCCACATATAAATGCAATAGCCAAGATTGCATGGAAACCCTAACTTTATATATAACCTATTTCATACACTATGCGTATCACTAGAAGCCAATCAAAATCTTCTTCTAAAAACTCAAGTCACAAGCTATTTTAAGCTCAAACTTATCTAGCATATGATAATCTTCTCCTCCTCTTTCTGCCCAAGGCTATCTAATCCTTATGCTTTGATACCATTCTGTCACACCCCGGGTTCGGGACGTGACAGAGCTACTATTTTTTAGTTAACCATGATTTGTTACCCCATAAAATCTCTAGACCATACCCAAAACCCTTGTCTACAAAATCCTTAACCCCTGTAAAATTGAATTTACAGTTTGTTTTCAAATATATATATATATATATATATATATATATATATATAACTATTTGCAGTGTATACTAATGCATTCAATTTCTGTTTTACTATTTTTATTTTATTCCACAGACAATATTATCTTGAACAACATTGAATCAACACTTTTCTTCATTGATCCAGACACTCCAGAATTAAATTCGTACAAATCAATGTAAGTCCATTCATTACAATAAAATCGAAATCATTACATGGTTAGCACAATTAAACAAAAACAGTTATTTTTATACACCTATTTAGCTAATATTCAATCTACACTATTGCAGATTTTCCAACTGGCCTCACCCTATCAGAACACTCCCTCCTTCCAATCAGGCGAATGAGACTGATATTTTACAAACTGGAAAGAGAGTGACAATCGACGAACTAGGTTATTTGGATCCAGATTTAGATAAGGTATATACAAGTTGTAATATTGAATCAAAGCCATCTCATTCGATTTTTGCGTCTTTAACAAAAACTATTTCTTTAATAATTATTACACATATAAATAGTTATCTGAATATTTATAGAATGACACGTTTTTGTGCAAAGCATCAATAAAGCGGTTTAACACAAGGTATGAATAGTGGTACACCGCTTACCCTAAATGTGCCAAGCAAATGTACAAGGATCTAACAAGTGGTCAACTAATTTGCCAAAAACAATTTGAACTCCTTGGTAATAACTTAAACGCTATATTTCAATTCCACTAATTAATTGTTCTCTCATTTCATTCTTGCATTAACATTTACTGCTTATTTAATTTTTACACCTTTAAGTAAGTATTAACCCTTTTAACTGATGATCACTGGTTGGTTACAAAAATACTATCAAAATTAAGCCAACGAAACATCAAATTTGTACAGTGCAATATGTAGTCATGCAACTACAAAACTGACCACAGATTCATTCAATTTTGAAAAGCAATTTTATGCAGCTATTCTTTTGTTTATCGTGTGGTTTGTGTTACATTAAACTGCACCATAAAAAACTTTATATAGATCCAGTTTTAAACTCATTAAACAATTTATGTTTTCAAATTTGTACATTTTGTTTTTAAATGAAGGTACAAAGTGTTTTTAGTCCTTGAAGATGAAACAAATTAGATCAGCGCTCTTATTATTGGCAAATCAGGGGAAAAGGTGCTTAGGACAAGCTGTAACAATTTAGTCTTCAATCAAAGATCGGTAGATCAAAAGTAGTTGCTAAATGAGTTTCTTAGACTCATAGGCCAGAGAAAGATTTTTCGCCTCCGATATGGAACCAGAAGAAATTCATTGAATTCAAATGATTTCTTGATCTATAACATTTACGAAGACATGATGATCAGCTAGCAACTCCGCAGTTAATTAGCCGGGAAATCACAATCTTCTCTGCAACAGTTTCATCTTCCACTACTCCTCCTGAAATAACTGGAGAATAGCACAAAAGAAAAAGAGAATCCATCAGGAAAGCTCTTTTCACAACATATGAAAAAGGTTGTATTCTACATAACAATATTTTTGTTCACCTATCAAATTACACTCAATCCAATCTAAATTTCATTCTTTGTTGTTTTTAATATGTTTAAAGTAATGAGGGAGAAGAAATTTTTGAAGCGGATATCAAGATTTTGACCAGGTTCCAATCAAGCTGTTGAAGAAAAAAATCCTCCCCAACTAGCTCAAAAACAGACCCTCCAGAAGAAAAACTAGGTAACTTAACTGTATTGTTATTTTTTCAGCAATGTAAACCCATTCATATACAAAACTTAGCAAGACATCTGATAATGTTCATTGTATAAATTGTAAAAATTTAGACATTGCCCTCGCTCTGCAGTCTCCATTTTGATTTCTATGTGTTTGAATATGTGTGTGTTTATGTGTTTACAGAATAATCTAAAGTTGAATTTTCGACCCCGCAACAACGTACGGGTAAAATTTTCTAGTTTAGTACTAATTTTAGTTGTTTATGTAATTCTCTTGCTTTCCAATCATTTAATTTACAAAAATGCTCAAAATTGATCAATTAGTGTGTAAATTGTTGAATATTCGTTTGGGTCCACTCTACAGTGCAACCTCATAATATAAATTATTTGTTTTCTAACAAATAGTTATTTAACATTGAAATTTGTTGTCATTTAGTACAATGTTTAAAAAGGCCCGCCTCAAGGCACGTCTAGGCGTTCTCTGAGGTAGGGCGTGAGGGTTGACGCCTCTGTTTTGAAAGAGTGGACGAAAGGCTTTGCTGGAGACGCCGAGGCAGCGGAGGCGCGCCTTAAGGCGTCCAGGCACCTTGTTTGCCCTTTTTTTTTTTTTTTTTTTTCAAATTTTTTTATTTTAAACCACCCAAACCCAAAACAACGCCGTTTGGGTAAGGATTTTTAATTCTAATTCCACAAATCCATCCATACGAGGACCATACCTTCGATCATCCTCTGCCTTCTTCACCTTCTTCTCCCACGCGCCAAAACACATAGCAGCTGCCGCCCGCTTGAAGCAGCAACGGTTGTCATGTCGTCGTCACCCCATCGCCGTCAGCAAGCCTACAAATCCCCAATTTTAAGGGTTAGGGTTTCTGAAATTTTGAAAAGTTATGGATTTTATTTTTTGATTTTTTTTAACACTGGTGTGAACTGTGAGTCTGTGATGTATTATATATTTTATATTATATATATAATAAAATAAATAAATAAAATTTCATTTTTTTTTTAACTTACATTATAGTTATTATTATAGTTATAGAATAATAATACAATACAATAATACATATTTAATATACAATATATACAATCCATATTTAATAAATAATACATATTTACATCTAATACCTTTGGCTTGATATGGGAGTTGAGGAGCAATCTGGGGTAGGGGTACGAAAGAGGGAGCATTTTAGGATAGGGCTGGGTGCGATGTAGTAGTTTTGGGTCTGAGATATGGAGCAGTCAAGGATAGAGGCAGGTCTTTTATTTCTTTTATTTCTTTTTAAACTCTAAATAATATTACTGAAATAAACCTGCTTTCACCATTTGTACCAGGGAAGCTCTTGAAAAGTGTTTTTGACGTCAGCTGTCTAAGATGGTCATAAGATCCAGAGCGACATATAAATTAATAAATTGTTGGTTCATTAACCGTATGCATAAATTGAGTATGTTCATCATAGTAATTGTTCCAGAATACCTGGAAATTGTTGGTGCATAAATTAATAAATTGTTGGTTCATTAACTGTATGCATCTAATGTTTATTGTTTAGGCATTGAAGAATATGGCTTCTTCTAAGAAAGATTTTGTTTGGCAATGGACAAAAGATTTTGATCCTATCACCAAGCACTTCTATTGTGTTTTTTGTAACCACAAATGCACGGGTTCAATTTCTAGATTCAAACATCACTTGGGTGGTGTAAGTTCAAGAGGAATGATTAGTTGTAAAAAAATCCCACCCAATGTGAAGGAAGAATGCTTTGCTAATGTTATGGGAACTAAAGAAAAGAAGAAAGCTAGCCATAAGTTGTGTTGTGGTGGTGGAGAAGAAAGTGAAAGTGTCGATGTGGGCACAACAAGGACACAATATGTAAGTAGTGGGAGTGGGAGTGTGAATGTCACACCTTCACAACAAACCGGTTCTTTTCTACCACCTAGGTCAAGGGGACCACTTGATAGGTATGTTTCGTAAGCTCGTCAAACCACATCGAATACATCTTTTAAAAAAGAGGAAAGAAGACAAGCATCCCAAGCACTTGCGCGATGGTTCTACACTAGTGCCATTCGATTTAATGTGGCAAACAACGAATATTATGTTAAAGCAATGAAAGCGGTATCTGATTTTGGTCCTAGCTTTGATTCTCCTACAAGCCATGAATATAGAACTTGGATGCTTAAAGAAGAAGTTGAGGATGTACAAAGCATGATCAAAGAACATGAAAAGGCTTGGAAGAGATATGGATGCACTATTATGTCGGATGGATGGTCGGATGGCAAAAGTAGGTGTTTAATCAACTTTCTTGTCAATAGCTCGCTAGGTACTTGGTTCTTAAAATTGGTTGATGCATCGGCATCTATTAAGAATGAAGATTTGTTGTATGGATATTTGGTTGATGTTGTTCAAGAAATCGGGGAGGAGAATGTGGTTCAAGTTATATCTGACAATGCTTTGAACTATAAGAATGTTGGGGCAAAACTTATGAAGAGGAGAGAAGGTGTGGTGGACTCCATGTGCGGCTCATTGCATTGATTTGATGCTAGAAGATATTTATAAGATGGCATGGTTTGATGACACACTCAAACGTGCTAGGTGTATTTCAAAGTATCTATACGGGCATCAATGGGTACTAGCATTGATGAGAAAGTACACCAACAATTTAGAAATTCTTCATCCGGCAGTCACTAGGTTTGCCACTTCTTTCCTTACACTACAAATCTTACAAAAGCAAAAGAAAAATCTTATTGCTTGGTTTACCTCTCAAGAATGGTTGGAAAGTACCTATGCAAAATCTTGTGAAGCAAAGTTGGCTAAGCATCATGTGCTACATGATCGTGAGTTTTGGGGTCGAGTTTCCTTTTGCATTAAGGGTGTTCTTCCTCTTGTTTGTGTCTTGAGATATGTTGATTCAGAGGAGAGAAACCACCCCCCCATGAGTTTTATATATGAGTTGATGGATGCTGCAAAAGAGAAAATTGCAAGCAATCTTAACAAAGTGGAGATAAAATATATGCCTATTTCGAGAAAGATAGATCGTAGATGAGACAATCAACTTCATCAACTACTACATGCGGTGGGCTATTACTTAAACCCATAATTTCGGTATGAGGACAATTTCTCAAATAGTGATGAAGTACGAAATGGGTTGTAAGCTTGCATGGATAGGATGCTAGGGAAAGGGAAAGAACATGAATAGGCCAATATTCAATTGGATTTATATAATGGTAGGCTTGGTGCATTTGCAGATTCTATGCCTATGCAAACTAGGAAAAGGCGAACACCAAGTAAGATTTAATTAGTCAATTGTTAATATATTTTTATCATTAACCCTTAAATTACTTTCTTTACTAATATTGTTTTTTTTAGCGGCTTGGTGGAAGCACTTTGGGACTAAAACACCTGAGTTAATGAAGTTAGCTATCCGAGTTCTTAGCCTTACTTGTAGTGCGTCGGGATGTGAGAGGAATTGTAGCACATTTTCAATGGTAAGTAAATATATTATTAGTATCTTAAGTGTCATTTTTGCTTAAGATGATTAGACTTGAATAATATAATTGATTTATTTGTAGACTCACACAAAAAGAAGGAATAGGCTTGAACACAAAAGGCTTAATGCTTTAGCCTATGTTAAGTACTATTTGGCTTTACAAGAGAGAAGTGAGAAAAGGAGGAAGAAGTACAATCCCATTGTTGCGGAGGAAATTGCCTCCGATGATGAATGGATAATGGAGATAGAAGATCCCGTTCTTCTCCTCCTCATCCTCGTCATGAGCCTACTCCTCCTCAAGAGCCTACTCACCTCGGGGTTCTATTGCATACAAAAGAAAACGGGGTACTGAAGGATCCTCAAGTCAAAGAAATTTGGAATATGGTTCGGAAGATTCTTTTGATGAATTGATGACATACCATACAAGTTCATCTAGAATTGGCAATGAAGAGGATGATGTTGCCTTTGATTTAGATGAAGATGATTTGGATGAATGGTTGATTCCTTTGTTTGTATTTTGATTTAGATAAAGAGGATTTGGACGAATGATTGATTTCTCTGTTTGTATTACCTTTTGAATGATGAATTTGGATGATATTACATTTGAATGATGAATTTAAATGATATTATCTTTTAAATGACTATGGATTTGAATGATAAATTGAGAATGGAAGTTTATTTTACATAGTATTATTTTTTAAGGTTGTGATATCCACACATCCCATTTTACTTCTCACACAGAAGATCAACAGACAAAAATTATCAAGAGGTATGTGAGAAGTAAAATGAGATGTGTGGATACTACACCCTATTATTTATACAATTATATGTATAATATATAAAACATATATATTAAAAAAAAAATTTAATCCCGTGAGGCTTTACCTCACGCCTAAACCGGCTTCCCTCGGACGCCTCTCCCACGCTTCACTCTTTTAATACACTGATCATAATTTCGAGCTTTGTTGAATTCATAATTCCCCATTTTTCCGAATTGTTCACATTCGAAATGGCTTTGGAGAAGAACACATTCGAAACCATAACCCCATCTCGTTTCATCACCTTCACTTTCCCAAACCCCTCCAACTCTTCCTCACTCCTCCGCGTCGCCGTCCTCGACTCACCTCTTCAACTCACTGACTCACCCCGAGTCGCCGCCATGCTAGTCCCCAACCACCGCGAGACCGACTGGATATTCTCCACCGAGTCGGGCCACCTCCAGCTCCTTCTCAGCTCTTCCGGGATCTCCCGCCTAATCCTCATCGGCAGCAACCAATCCGCAGACGCTCACCATTCACCGCCAATCTACCACCGTCAGGATAAAAACGACACGTCGTGTGATGAGGAAGTCGGGGTGAGTTTGAAATTGAAACCTCTATTGCTTGCTTTATCTCCAAAGTGTTGCTTCAAATTTGGCATTCCTGAGATACCCATTTTGTGTTATGAAGATAATGTGGTTTCTAGTGTGGTTTTGGAGAGGTGTGTTGGGTCTCTGGTTGGGGAAATGGTGGTGGAAGATGTGGAGATTGAGAGTGGCGCCGAGGTTTCGAAGAGGGAGTTCAGGAGGCGTTTGAGGTTTAAGAGATTGCCCAATTTGGTTCAAACGGAGGTACGCATTGTTCCGAAGACGGGTTTTGGTTTTGATTGTGTGGAATTTGGAGAAATAGAGTTTAGGCTCGATAATAGTGTTTTAGTGCACCCTTATTTGGTTCCTATGGTAGCAAGTCTGAGTCTTGTTGCTTCTTGTGTCGAGGAACAGATTCGAAGTGGGTTTAGACCCAAAGCTTTGTGTTTAGGAGTTGGTGGTGGAGCTTTGCTTGGATTTTTAAGTGCCCATTTGGGTTTTCAGGTTGTGGGTGTGGAGGCGGATGGGGAGGTTCTAAGGGTTGCTAAGAAGTATTTTGGACTGGAAGATGGTGAGCATATCAATGTTCACGTTGGGGATGCAATAAAGTTTATAAAGAAACTTGCTTTCCGTGTTAATGGACAGACTGCCGGTTCTATTTTTGCAGATGAGGTAGGGGATAATAGTGAGTCTTGTGACATGGGCGATGGCAATGACGTTCATACTAAATTTGATGTAGTGCTTGTTGATTTAGATTCAAGTGATGCTGGGGATGGTATAATTGCTCCGCCGTTCGAGTTTGTTAGGAAGCATGTGCTTTTGGCTGCCAAATCAGTTCTTTGTGATAATGGCATCTTTGCTATAAATGTTATTCCTCCAAATCGGTCATTTTACACAACAATGATATGTGAGTTTAGAGAAGTTTTTCATGAGTTGTATGAAATAGACGTTGGAAATGGAGAAAATTTTATTCTTATTGCTGTTGTGTCACCCGTTACATCTGCTACTAGTGATTGTGAAAACTCTTTCCTTAACAAACTAAGAATGGTTGTATCAGGAGCATACTTGAATTCCATAAAGAAGATCTAAGATCTAACTCTACTGTTTGGTAGAAGGGGGAGAGGGTGCCCCGGGGGGGGGGGGGGGGGGGCGGGGTTTTGTGGTGGTGGTTGGGGTCTGGGGAAGGTGAGACTGTAAAGAGGACACTTTCTTCATAATTTGACCAGTATTCGTTATCTTGGTGTTAAGATCTCCAGATTTAGAGCAACTTAATTGTTGGTTCTCCATCCTCTTATTTTGAGTGAAAACATGCATCAACGGTGGGCTTGGAATACTAGCTCTGACTGTTCTCTTGAGAAGAAATTGAGACTTTGATAGTAGTTTGGAAACTTATGCTCCTTTATTGGGTATGAGGTAAAAGGAAAAAACTCAACTTATTCGGTTCAAGTAACACCTATAATGTTGCCGTCGAGGGAAAAAGAAGGTAATACTTACAATTTATTTTTCTCTTGAAGGCAGGCTTTCTCTCTGCTGCATCGAGGCATATTATGTTTATTATGTGCTGCAGGAGTGATTATTGGGGAAGGATGCTGGTGAGGTGTTTTGGTAAAGCGGGTGAAGATTAAAGCAGTGATGAGGCAGCAAGGATTGGATGTCGAGGTGGTCATGGCAACGAGTGGGGTGGGATTGAGGACAACATTGTCAATGAGTGGACTTGTTTTTTGCCTTATCTGGTAGCCCCAAGGTAACAAAACAGTTTTTCTCTTTTATTTTTGGTCATGGTTTAATTGTTAGGTTATCAAATGGATGTTGATAATCTTGTTTCTAATAATTTAAGAGCACTCAGAAAAAGGAAAAAAAGAAAAAACGAGAATAAAAGAACCATTCAACTTGTATTTATTGATTGATAGGGTTTTTATTTGATTAGGCAACGTTTTTGCTTCAAAAATTCAGGGTGGCCTCTTGCTAACTGAGCCTTTGGAGAATTTTTTATTTATACTATTAGAAGATAACATTGTAAGGTTTTGTTTATACTATTAGAATCCATATATAGGTCAAGATTTGAATAAAAATATGACATTGTGGTACTTTCCTGAGAGGTGAAATTTTGTCCATCCACATCTACATCTTGTATTAAGCGACACAATTCTAGCACCGTGTTGACCTAAACTCACATGCATATCATTCTTATTCAACGGTTATGCATACACATCCGTAGTACAAGAAATGTTCTCTTGACAATCCTACGTTCCTATATTATGTCGGATGATTGCCCTTTTGGATCATTACTGACGTGGACTCTTGTTTTAATGTCTGATTACTCATTACTCTCTAACTCAACAATTTTTTCTAACTGTAGATTCAAATTTCTTGATGGCACAGTTGCGCTTATTCCTGCAGAAGCAAAAGGATTAGGAGACATGGTTAAGTTTTCTCCTCCAAACATCTGAATCAACACCTTCCTAGGAGGATGATCAACCGGGTGCCATTGGGTCTTCTCCATCTTCTAGAAGATTATAGACCGTCCCTAGGTAGTAAGACCCGTCAGTGTTCTCCATGGTTGCACCAATATCCTTTTTACCTCGTGCCATATCAAGCAAATGCATCCCAAAACTAAAGACATCTTACTGATAAGACACATTTCCAAAGTTCCTCGGGAACACTTCGGTGCAATGTAGCCCGTGGTCCCCCTAGCTTAAGTCATTGACACTATGCTTTGATCCTTGGAGCACAACCTGGCCAAACCAAAATCTGAAAGTTTTGGAGTGAAGTTATAGTCTAGCAAAACGTTATGTGGTTTGATATCAAAATGGAGGATTCGCTGATCGCATCCATGGTGCAAATATTCAATTCCCTTGGCTATTCCTAGAGCAATGTCTTGCAATTTGCCCCAAAAGAGGTTGCATTCCTTAGTGTCTGCGGATGAAATGAAACTCCGTGAGGTAAGAACTCATATACAAGAGCACGTCTAAATTCGTCATCACAGAAGCCAACCAAGCGAACAACGTTAACGTGGTGGATATGGCTCATCGTTCCCGCTTCATTTATGAACTCTTCCCCATTTCCCTTAGAATTGTTGAGGACTTTGACAACATCAAAGAAGTCAGAAGAAAGTTTTCCTTTAAAAACAGTTCCATGGGCTCCCTCTCCCAACTTGTCTTTGGATTGATTTCTAACCCTCTTAATGTAGTGGTGCGTGCACCGATTTACCGTAAGCATGTGATTAGTTCGTATGTTGATGAAGAGGATTTGAGCATGGAACTAGGTCTTTCCCTTTGTCTGTCGATGAAAATGGCTGTGATTAGTGTGGAAGGACCCCTGCTGGGAGATGTAAAGAAGGGTTGTATATATACATCATTTTTCATATCTCAATCATGTGAGCACAAATAATAATTGCTACAATAAATTTACATTTTTTTTTCCATACCTTTTGCTTTTATTTGAACTACCAATTAACAAAATTTTCTTTATCAATCAAATGAGGGTGAAAAATATTATTTAGTATTCTATTACAACAAAATATGATGGACAGTAATATAATTTCACACTACCAAGTTTTTCTGTTTTTTATTTAAAACTCACTTACATGTGATTTTTTTCATTTATATAATATTAAAAATTAAAAAATGAAAGGCAAAAATCTCTTTCCCCACTTCATGTTCTCTCTCTCCCTCTCTTATTCCAATTTTAAAAACAAAAATAAAACATGTTCACAAACAAAGTGTGTAGGTATATGCTAGTTTATCATAAATATAATTGGTTTACTTTTACATCTTTTAAAATTTTGCACTTCACCTGGTATGTCAAATTGTAAACATAATTGGAATGAGAAGAAATGAACTAAAAGGTGTAAAAATATTTAAATATTGTTTTGGTAAAAAATTAATAAAAAGCATTTAATAATAAATTACAAATTACTTGAAGCTTCTGTCAAATTTAACATCAACCATCTTTGGCGTCATTCCACGTCATGTCACATAGAATTTGACATTTCGGTAGTGTTGTCTTTTGTTAGGTTATTTTTGAATTTTTTTTGTTTTTCAACTTGAAAGAAAACCCATGAAACCACAAACAAGAAAAAATAAAAATTTGAAAAAATTCAAGATACCCACCCACTTAGGCATTCAATGTGGTAAATTTGTACGCACTCGTCTTTTGTTAGGTTAAATAGTGTTTGCTTTGATTCAATATTCATTGTATGCACTTGGAACTTTAACGAAAAGCTCCCAGTACTGTTTACTTTAATGAAAAACCATATTTTTACACTAAAAAGTCAATCCTTATGCTATTCACTTTACCCTTTATTTTGTCATTATCGTTAAAACTCAAAGTTTTCAAGCCATTTTCATTAGTTTTCCTTTGTTGCAAATATGTTGGAAACATTGGATCATTATGCTAATTATAATTCAATTAACTCATCAAAGTTTTCTTAGAGCCAAGTTTGCTTAGGTGACTCATCAAATTTAAATGCTTAGGCATTTGCCTAGTTGTTTAAAATGCTCTTAGGTAAGTGGCTCTATTATTTGCCTTGTCACTAAACCAGTAGCTAATTTGTAATTTAACTCATGATATCAATGTGAATTATTGCTTCTTTTTTTTCGGAAGTAAAAAAAACTTTTTTTGTTTTGTTTTGTTTTTGTTTTTTTGTTTTTTTTTTGTTTCTTTCTAGAAATTCATTAAAAATTCATCATTCCAACTCAACCAACTTGCAAGGTTACTCTCAACAAAAAAAAAGAAAAAAAAAAGAAAAAAAAAAAGAGGTATATTCACTAAAATCAACAAGGTTAAATCCTTTGTTTTTTTTTGTTTGTTTGTTCCTAGAGTGCCATTTGAAAACATCTCTTTGACAGTAATCTCAAAATTTTATACTTATAAATTCGATTACTTCATTTATTATTGGATTTTTATGACAAATGGTTCCTGAAATTGACTCTCACCATCAAGATGGTCTCTGAAATTGAAAATTAATAAATGTAGTCCCAGAAAATAGGTGTCGCAAATCAATGTGATCATTTCATCACAATTCTGTTAAAAATTCTATTAAGTGCTGATGTGACACAAAAATGGGTCCACAAGATTTACGGGCTTTTATCACAAATGGTCCCTGAAATTGACTCACACTATCAAGATGGTTCATAAAATTGAAAATCGGTGAATGTCCTTGAAAATAGTTGTCGCAAATCAATATGATTCTTCTGTCACAATTATGTAAAAAAAATTTGTTATGTGCTGATGTGGGTTTAATAGTTTAAAAAAGTTATCAATTAACTTTTTGCACAATGGAATTTTTTTTTCTTATAATAGGACCTACTCGAAAGAGAAATCTCTTCCATAAATTCTCAAAGGCACAAGGCTTAACCAATGCCTAAGAAGGGGTTTCGAATAGTTTTCAAAAAATAATAGACGCATCTTGGTTATAACCTCATTATCTCACGGCAAACCTCGCCATTCTTTGAGTCACTAGACCACCAAGGAAACGCCAAACAAGCTCTCTAAGATTAAGGTTGTGAGGATATTGATTGCCTAAATGTTAACGGTGATATCTCAGAAATCGTTGCCAGGTAGCCAAGCCGTCACCAAAGGTGATCTCGATCCAGGTTCAATTCGGTGAAGGGTGTTGAAGTGTGTAAATGTGGGTGTATTGAGATTTTTTTATTTTATTTTATTTTATTTATATATAGAGAATAGATAGCGATGGAGGTAGAAGAATATGGACTAAGATCAGAGGTGATTGCAAGATTGAGTTTTTGGGTTGATAACTTTTTATTAAGTATTAAATTATTAAACCTTTTGGTCATTATTTTTAAATTTAATTAGACTTGTGTGATCCATTGATGTGTCATATCATCACATAATAGAATTTTTGACAGAATTGTGACAGAATGACTACACTGATTTGAGATACTTACTTGCAGGACTACATTGATCGATTTTCAATTTTAGGGACTATTTTGATGTCTGGGTTAATTTCAGGAACCATTTTGATGTCATGAGTCAATTTTAAGGACCATTTGTGAGAAAAAAAATGACTTATGAGACCCATTTATGTGCCACATCAGCACTTAATAGATTTTTTAACATAATTGTGACAGAAAGACCAAATTGATTTGTGACACCTATTTTCAGGGACTACATTTATTAATTTTCAATTTTAAGGACCATCTTGATGATAAAGGTCAATTTCATGGACTATTTGTGATAAAAACCCTTTATTATTTAGTCAAGTATTGTAACGAAGCTAGTTATGAACTATCTTGTAAACACTTGAGTAAATATTTTTGCACAATTGCCCAACAACAGCTTAGCAATTTTTAGAACATTAAAATTGACAATTCACCTTTTATAGATTTATCGTCCAAACTAAAAGAATTACATTAACTACGCATACATAAAACATTTCTACAATATAAGCCATCTACATTCAGTTTCCATTCACGTTAATATCAAGCTTGATATAACGTAACATCCATAAACCAACTACAGTAGAACTTTGACAAATTAATAATCTCGGTCAAATATTATTTTTAGATAGTGATATAAATCTCGCGTAATATATAAATTAATAATTTCATGTTACTACAGTCTTTGTTTATCGAAATAGAGCTTTTGATTGTTAAATGTTTATAAAATAGAATAATGTACTTGATTGAACAATGTACAATCTAGTTTTAGCAAAAAAATAAGTAAGGTGTGCTATCCACAAACTCTTTTTTACTTCATACACACCTTCTTAGTTTGCAGTCGTTGGAACGATTGAGCTCAACCAACGAACAAATTAGAAAGCATCCCAAAATTTCATCATCCCAACTCAACCAACTTGCAAGGTCACTCTCAACAAAAATGAGGTTTATTCACTAAAATCAACAAGGTTAAATCCTTCGTTTTTTTGTTTTGTTTGTTTGTTCCCAGAGTGCCACTTGAAAACATCTCTTTGACAGTAATCTCAAAATTTTATATTTATAAATTCAATTACTTCATTTATTATTTATTCAAGGATCGTAACGAAGCTAGTTATGAACTATTTTGTAAACACTTCGAGTAAATATTTTTGCATAATTGATGCATATAGCCAGCCATTGGTTTCAAACTTTCGAGTGAGGTAGTCTAACATACTTCAAATGCACATACGTAATCATACAACAAAAACCTCGAGCTGTCGAGCACATGATGGTAGACAGGGAAAACAAAACCACAACCACCATTTTTAAAGAGGTGTGCTATCTACACATCTCATTTTACTTCTTACACATCTCTTGATAATTTTTGTTCGTTGATTTTCTTCAATTCATCCGATTCAACGACCGAAAATTAAAAATTGTGAAAAGTAAAATAGAATATATGAATACCACACCCCTTTTAAAAATGTGAAAACAAGACCGAACAATGGTATTGACTTATAAAATGTTATAAACCAATATAAAATGCTCTAACATTTACACATGTACTTAATTAATATTAAAAAAACCACATAGGCCTCGCCAAGGCGTCTTGGCGCTAGGCGTTAGGTCTCTTCTCACTGTCCAACAACCGCTTAACGATTTTTAAAACATTAAAATTGACAGCCACTGTGACATCCCACATCGCCCAGGGGTGATCCTTAAATGTATATTCCTATCCCTACCTAGCATGAGGCCTTTTGGGAGCTCACTGGCTTCGGGTTCCGTAGGAACTCCGAAGTTAAGCGAGAAGAGGGTTAGACACTCCCAGGGTGGGTGACCCACTGGGAAGTTGCTCGTGAGTTCCAAAAAACAAAACCGTGAGGGCGTGGTCGGGGCCCAAAACAGACAATATCGTGCTACGGTGGTGGAGTGGGCCCGGGAAGTGATCCGCCCCGGGCCGGGATGTGACAGCCACTCAGTACAACGATCTGGTAGTATTCCTCTTCATTTGGAAATAAGAGGTCTTCGGTTCGAATCTCGTGGATGACGAATTCAATACAAAATTAAGCTGCATATTATGTGACTTAGTTGAACTACCCCTCATTCTAGTATAAAAATATCAATTTACTTCAAATCAAATTGACACTTCACCCTTTATGCATTTATCCTCCAAACTAAAAGAATTGCATTAACTACCCATACATAAAACATTTCGACAATACATGCCACCTACATTCAGTTTCCATTCACGTTAATGTTAAGTTTGATAACCTAACATCCATAAACCAACTACAGTAGAACTTCGACAAATTAATAATGTCAGTAAAATAATAATTTTAGGCAGTCATAAAAGTCTTACGTAATATATAAATTAATAAATTTCATGTTACTATAGTCTTTGTTTATTTAAATAGAGCTTTTGATTGGTTAAATGTTTATAAAATAGAATAATTAATGTACCATGTTGAACAATGTACAATCTAGTTTTAGCAAAAAATAAGTGGAATGTGTTATCTACACATTCCTTTTTATTTCATACATACCCTC